ACCTGATGAGTCGTAAATGATACATTATGCTGTTATTCAGAGCTCGGTTGAAATTTTTGCACAAAACCAAATTGACTAAACGGTGTCTGAAGTTCTCTAATTGGCCGCAGATGTGAAAGATTACGAGCCCAAGAAAAGCATCTACCGACGTGTAAATAATAGCTCCTATAGAAATTGTTATGGCTTGAACAAGAAATGTCAATTCAAATTGCGGGCTTTTATCAGTGTCGTAGAAGTAATACGTCTGCAGCGGTAGCGGTTTGTTCCGATCGGTGAGATTTGTTATGTGCCTTATTTTTATGCCAAAGCAAGGAAAAATGATTAGCATGATAAATGCTGATGTCATTAAAACATATCCGGAAATTATGAGTAATCGAGCAAATCGTGCATTTTTTAGCATCACATCCCTCTCTTTGCTTAACTTTAATGCTATCCAATCCTCCGCCATCGCGTTTACAATAGATAGGAGAACTTGGAAATAAAAAAAAAAGAAAGAACAATATTGATAATATGCAAACTTCAAATTATTTACAACTAATTATAATTATTTCTTAACTCCCGAGCCATCAAACCAAACACAGACATTACATAAACATCACATGAACATGGATCGACTTTTGGTTCTAGACAGGTTCGAGAGTTAACAATTAAGTACAACTAAACTATCAAAAAAAGAGATAGAGAAAGAAAATAATATAAACACTTGATAATTTAATTTTGATATTGATTGCAAAAGAAGAAAGAAAAGGAGAGAAGAAGAGAAAATGAATCACGTATATCTTGTTTCTAATATCGTAATTTAATACATTAGTAGTAATAAATATTATATAATAGTTTAGCATAGAAATAAAATATATAAGGTGAGATATTTTACATAAATTAATATAACACATACCTCTTCGTTTCCATCGTATAATAACAAATTTGAATGAAACCACTATAAGAGGTAATGTAATTCGTAAATTATCTACCATAAGTACCGTGTCACCCCAAACTCGTATAAGCGCCCATACAAGCGGTACACCAGAGACGACTATCACAGTAATGAAAATAAAGCATACGCGAATATTGGACCATGCATTTTTCTTAGAAACATCATCGGCTATAGGCCATAAACCGATCAATTCCAAACCCAAACGGTGTAATTCAACTGCCCATACGAAATCTGACAATTTTTTATACGGAGAGAATAAAAGATTTAAATAAAATAATTTGACAAATTAATAAATTATAATTATTAAAAGACTAATCGTAAGGTAGCAATAATACATGATGATAGAAATGGATTTACAATGCAAAATAATAATTTGTTTATTAGATATATAGAACACGCTTAGTTAACAAAAAATACAGGGTATAGGATTCGTACCTTTATAACCCGAAGACTCCGTGTCCATGTCGAAGACTAACATGAAGAAGATCGTCCCGTTCTTCCCCCCATATAATGTAAAACGATCATCGCGCATGCTCTCCATACATCAAGTACAAAAACTCGGTAGCTTCGTCAGACGCATTAAATATTAAGAATGCTATCCCCAATTGACCATAGGTACTCGTCTCGTAAAAAAAGTTTACAAACGTTCGAAAAAGTTATAAAAAGCGAGTTATACTCAAACGAGTAGAGATGGGAAATATTCCGTCGCAGTATTTTGCAAATTTAACGAGCCTGTCGTGAAAGTTTCTTGTAACAAAGTAATAGGTACGAAAATGTAAGAAGCTGCAGTTTATAGACCTGGATTATACATCATCGTTATCGTATGTTTCAAATGTAATTATTATAAAGATATATTTGTTTATATAACGCAGAAAATGAATCGATTATCGAGTATAAACTGTAATAGATATTTTTTACAGTTATTTTTTAAGTTTTTCCGTATTTCTGAAAATGTTTCCGTATAAAACGACTGTGCCCTTTAAATATCCGATTGAAATTTCCTCTTTGACATTTGCCCGTGATTTAAAGAAAACATAGCAATCGTACATAAGCATTCAAAATATTAATTATTTTTACGAAATTAGAAAAATTGACGTTTTTGTATCACAAGATAGAGCATTTATCGATCTTCTTTTCATTTCTTTATAAAATTAAAGCAAGCAGTAATAATCCCATCGAAATATTTATATAGGTTGATCCATCTTACATCAATTTATTACTGTCACTAAATTTAGTTATACACACAAAGAATGCTGATAATTAAAAAATTATTTAAACCGTTTGAAAGTGTTTTTTTAAGAGAAATGCAACATATAAATCTTTGAACTTGATTAAATTATTTTCCTAATAAATATTGAAAATTGTCACGTATCAAGATCCATAATAATATAATTTCCAAATGATAGACATCGATGTAAATAACACGAACCTTTAATTTTATTAGCCATAATTACACATAATTATTATAGTTTTTGTCGGGAATAGTATATTGTGCACCAAGGGGCGAAAGTAGCGTTTTTCAGACGAGTGTGAAGTTTGCCGCCCGAGCCGAAGGCGAGGGCGGCAAATCACACGAGTGTGAAAAAGCTTTCGACCCGAGGTGCACACAATATTTTTCACAATACCTTTACGGAAAGTTCGACTTCCATGCCTAGAGAGAGGCGAGAGTGGCCAATTTCACGCCAGGGCTTACTTTCCTCGACCTAGGAAAGAAAATTGATACTTTCCACCCGGCATAGCGGTTACTTTCCGCCCGCTATGCCGGGTGGAAAGCTGGAAAGTATCAATTTTCTTTTCTAGGGCGAAAAGTAAGCCCTGGCGTGAAATTGGCCACTTTCGCCCCTCTCTCCAGGCATGGAATGTCGAACTTTCCGTGGAGGTGTTGTGAAAATATGTTATTGGATATACATTCGTCTTCTCTATAGAACTGAATAAAAGTATGTTAACGTGATTTTCAACTTCCCTTTGCTAGCAAAAACGATATATATCCACCCGACGTTTTTAAAAGCTGAAAGAAAGAATATTATTATTTGGATATAATATAAAAGAAAAAAATATCCGCAAAGTAACCTTAGTTACACTTTCATACTATGTTATAATAATAATTATAACAATTTTTTACATTTAAGTTTGCTTAGTAATTGACTACTTTTGATCAAGAGCATTAAAATGTTCCGAGCCGGACCAATTTTATTTATTTGTCGCCCACGTGGATTACCCATAACCTATGTGGCTTAGTTATTATACTTGTAATATAAAATGTTTTTTATGACTAAAAAATTGTTATTGTTATAATGATGAAGGCCTAATATGGCTAAATGCAATTCAGAACACAACAAGAATACTTTTTAAATTAATTATTTAATAAAATTAATATTTTATACAAACGTTTATTAATAATTATTTAATCAATAAATATTTTATAACTAAAGTGATACATAATGCTGTTTTACGTTAAAACAGGATACACGTAAACATAATTAGGATAGTGCTTAGAAAATATTAAAACTTTTGTATAGTTAAATTTCTTGTAACTTATACCTATTGTGCCCAGCTTGTTAACATTTCTATATCAATCAATAATTTTTAAATAAAGTAAAAAATAAAAGATTGTAGTGATTCGATATCTCAAATCGATGATCGCAGGGTGTGATATTATGGGCTACAATACCAATATTGCACCATAAATCATAATTAAGCATTCACATATGGTATCACAAAATATTTCATGATTATGTTTTTCTTTTTCTTTATAGCCAAAACGTTAAACAGCCTGAACGAAAAATACAACGTGGGCCACCCACGGCGGCATGGAACGTGTTAAATAGGGAAATAAGTTAAATTGCATTTGGTACGAAAGAGTAAAAAGTTAAAGTATAGAAATTATCATATCTTACGCTGCAAAATGTAGCCATTGTTAAGGGAAAAATTTTTCCTGTAGAGATGCAAAACGGTTTGTTGGCTCGTGCCATTAATAAAATAAGATTCCTCGCTTTTCTTGATTCCAATTTGTACCACTCAAGATCACATATTGCACGATATACAGCTTCACACTTAACAAATGCGATATACATGTAACGTATAAATACACATATTATTTCAATATAAGTTCCGACAAATATTAATCTACGTATATTGATACGTATATACGTTAATACAGATTTTATGTATAATTTTATTTTAATTTATTTCTTATATTACGTACACTTATATTACGTACTTTTTACTAATGTAATTGTATAAATATATAACTTACTTGTCCTGTTACAAGTTCTCCCGCACCGCAATAGAGAAACGTATATGTAAATAAAGTAAAAACACTAAATGCTAAGTAACATGCTTGTAGGACACTCGCGCCATTTATCTCTCGATCAGTAATCATCTAAATAATATATCTCGCTAATTAGTAAAACACAAATTGATATAAGTTAAACATATAATAGTTCATAGACTCACACAAGTTATATTGCATAAATATACTTTTCAAACATAAAGAAACGCGTAAGAATTAAAATATTTTCGGTACATTATTTCTTCGTTTCACTGGAACTCACAGTAAGAAATAAAAATCCGGCTAGACAAAATGTACTACAAAAATATAGTACCAATCCAAACATCATTAACGAAAATGTGTTTTCAATGTTATCGGCAAACCTAGAAGCAGAAACTGATAATTAAATAGAAATGTCATTTTAAAGCTAATAAAATTCTACATTTAACAAAATTTGTACATTTAATTTTGACAAAAGATGCTAGTATTATAAAATTTAATATTAAAAATTAATATTTATAGCATTATAGACATAAAAATTTTAACGTTCAAAGAAATTGTAGTATTGTAAAAGTGCAAGAACTAATTTTGTCAGAAGTTTTGTTGATTATTTTGGATCCTATTGTCATAGCCAAAATCCACACCTGATGAGTCGTAAATGATACATTATGCTGT